GGAGCACATCCCCCCTTCAGACAATTCATGCATGCATTCTGACGATGGAGGAAAATTTGACAGTGATGGGTGAGTGACAGGCATAGTAATGCTGGGGGTTGTAGTCACAGATGAGCATGTAGGCGTCTCACAACAGCAATTATAATTAGCCTAATTGAATGATTGGACTTTATTCCACAACCCTACCTCCAGCTAATCTGAGGCACAGCTCTCCCAGTAAGATACTGCCACACAGCTGAAACCCAACTTGCTGATGAAGAGGAACTTGCAGAGATCAGTGCAGGGTAAGGTCACCCATCCTTGCAGCCAAAACTATTGAGTGCTGGATTTAGCATGTTGCCTCCAAGCTTAAAGGTCTACCTAAAGGCATAAGTGATCGTCTTCTGGCTCTACTAGCGCCATTGAAACCAAGTGGTACGTTACCATCAGCAGCGCTTATGCTTTTACCATGACAAATGCTGGCAATAAGAAAAGTCCTATAATGACACAGACAAATTCATCAGCATCAGATAAACTGATGTTCATGGGGGGGACTTTTATGCAAGGGCTGGAAGTAATGTGGCATCGACAGCATGTGACTGGGGAAGAAAATAGCAATAGAACTCTGGTACTTAGTGAAGGCATCACACAGCAGTTACCAATCATGCATACACATGCGTCCCAGATCCAAACAATGGTATATCATCGACTACAGCATCATCCAGCGGCGAGCTCCACAAGATGTACAAGACACTGAAGCCGTGTGTGGGGCAGACTATGGACAGATCATCCTAAGGTCTGCTCCAAAGTGTTCTCAATGATTCAACAGGTGCACTGCAAGGCATCGCCTAAGCCAATCAGACTGCTCAATATAAAGTGCTTAAAGATGAAGCTAGGTGAGTGCAGCTCTGTAATAACGTCACAGCAGTTTTGTCGGACTCCACTGGCTTGACTACTAGTGCTAATGGAAACCGTGCGTAAGCAATTTTTCACAAAACTGAGTATCAAGCTGCTCTCACCAGGAGGGGTAAAGCAAAATGACATCTTCAAGACGGGTTGAGAAGAATGATCCAATAGCTACTCATTAAAAACTTAAGATACATTGTCAAATTCTTGTACATCATACAAGAATCTGTCATGACATCAAATAAAAGCTTGGAGACATGTAGAATGTTGACAACTGGGAATCATCAGCAAGAGGTAGACCATGCTGGCAAAGCAGTAAGCCACAATGGGGTTATCCACTTCAAGATTGACTAGTCAGCAGTAGGCAATGATGGGGATACCTAGTTCAAGATTGGCTAGCAAGCATTAGGGTTACCTAGTTCAAGATTAACTACCAGATAAATCTTAATGCACAGATACGGAGCTATAAATACTGGCACACTCAACAGACGCAGACTTTAACCCCTTCCTCCACGTCGAGCGACCTGTGCACTTCACAAGGAAAAGACTGCCACAACCTTACTATGCATAAGAGATAAAACTGTCATCAGCATCATCTTCGTTCTTGAAGAACAAGTAGTCATATTTATAATTACTTGGCAAAATGAACATCCCAATGCAACCCTGTGGCGCTGTTCCCAAAAAACTAATGCAAACAAATTTTCATAGCAATAAACTCCATGAAATTAGGGAGCAAGGGTGACCCACTGATTACACTGCTGATAGCAAAAAAAAAAAAAAAAAAAAAAAAACCACCCCCCACAGTTTAGGGCTTTGTTGTGCAGCACCTGCATGACTTAACACTCTACTGTAGTTTCTGAGCACAGGTGGGAACCCCACTAGACCAGCACCCTCAAGACCTGACCAGTTCTGAACCAGAGAATTTTCTGGAGCACAGGAGGTTAATATTGTCTAGTAGTATTACCAACACTTCCACCGTGTACTGGTTTGTTAGATGTAAATCAAAGCTACGTAACAGCACAGAACACTGAGAGCCAGCACTGGTGGCTGTAAACAAACTTTATGGGACCATGGGAAACATGGCCACACCCATGAAAAGTGGCCATCCGACTAACTAAAACCATGCCTGACCACGGATGTTTCTGGACCACAGAGTTCTGGACTAGAGAGCTTCAGCTTGTATTTAATTTAACAATGTTAAATTCACAAGAGTCAGACTCTCATACTAAGAAGATCTAAAGCCTTACATGTTGCCTGCTTGCAGTTTCATCCCGCTTCTTACCAGTTTTACAACTTTCAATGTTTTGCCTGCAGTGGGAAGAATATGCTGAACCCACCTGCTTTTAGATTTGCTAACAAGTTTACATGAGTTTAGTGACCCAACCACAACAGGGGCAATCATGGCTCTACTGAACCCAGCTTTTCTCTCCTTGAAATGGCTACTCAATAAAGCTTGTCTCACCCTAATAACTGTTTGATTTTCAAAGGAGTTGAGCTATCCATAAAACCTAACATCTTTTCCACATTTATACATGCATGAGAGCATATTCGCAGCATGTTCCTATTTAACACTATGGCAATATAATCACCCTTTGTGTAATGTCATTACAATAATACATTGTGCAATAAGCACACAAGTCTTTTGTTCAGAGTCCTTTTACAATTATCTAAAGAGAGAGTCAAATGTTCCATGCAATCATTCTCCCCTTACAAGTGGGGACATATCAAGAGATTCAGCAAGTGGCCAACTGAAAGTCTTGTAAATGGAAAGCTAAAACTTTCCCCCACTAGTCTGATTCAAAAGTTCAAGCACTGGACATGAAGGTGGCTAAAAAGCAAGCGAGGGGCATTAACCAGACTGGATCTTCGCCTCCCTGAAAAGGCAGTGTTATTACTTGAGTCCTACCTAGGACTCGTTAATTAAAGAAAGAATGCTTTCTTCAAATCCTGAAAGGAATTCAAAATCCAGATATTTATGTCTGGAAAATCGTTTGCAGTGCTTCTGTCGAGTTCAGCTAGAAGAGCAAAGCCACACATGCTAGTTTCACCTGAGCCTCCCAATAAATGGAGAAAGGCAGTAAGGACTTCCCTTTGCAAAGCTGCCAACAGATTTACTAGCAATACATAAAATGATCCAGGCAATTGCTATAGCATCCTGGGCATGGATAGAGGAAGAAGAAAAAATAGTATTCTTGAAAGGAGTGAAATACTACAGAAGATGGACACAGACCTGATAAATACGTTTACATTGTTCAAGTAATTCCACACGCTTTTACAACGCCTGAATGGTCATGAGATTTGGACTATTTGGTGACCAGGAGGTGGGCGGGCATTAGCCCGCCCACATCTAAAGGACCTCCCCCCAGCCTGTGGGGAGGGTCCACAGAACCCGGAAAAACCAACTAATTACTGGGAACAAATAATGTAAAAACAGGTACGGGTGTGAGGGTCAAAGGGTTAAAACGAGGGAACCAGATGGGGATACCGAGCAGAGAACCCCGGACAGCGCCCACTGCCCCTTGAAGGTCTCGAGAGAGCCAGCGGATGCTGCCCATTGGAACTCTGCCCGGATACGTGAGTGGATACAGCAACGGAAATAGGCCCCACAGTCGCAGGCCCCTCCTCTGGCCAACCTCTTCTCCCTGGTTTTGTAGATTGCAAATTTGGCCATAGCCAGGAAGAGGTTGACCAGGAGGTCCCGCGACTTTGTGAGGCCACGGATGGGATGTGCGTAAATTAACAAGTGGGGGGAAAAGTGCAGCCAGAACCTCAACAGGAGGTTCTGGAGGAGCTGAAAGAGGGGCTGTAGCCTGGTGCACTCGATATAGATGTGCGCCAGGGTCTCCCTCACGCCACAGAAGAGGCACGTTTCGGAGGTGGGGGTAAACCACGCCAAGTACACGCCCATGCTCACCGCGCATTGCAAGATTCTCCAGCAGATGTCCCCGGTGGGCCGTGGAACCAAGGTCGAATAGAGGCTGGCCCTCCGGGTCATGAGATTTGGAGCTGGGAAGACAAATCCTTCAGGTCTCAGACCCCCTTCCCCTCCCACACTGGAGGGTGCTATTGATTTAGAATTGTAAATAGTATGAGTGAAATATACACATACAGTCAACTGCACCCAGACAGCCAATCAAAACCATTCAATGCCATAAACAAAGCCAAGTAAAATTCATCTGTCCCATTAGTACTCTGGGTTAGTGTGGCAGGCAAAATAGAAACCTTCGAAGGTAGGGGTAGATGGGACCTTCACACCAAAAGGTATGGCTTAATGTTTACGATACTGCATTTCAATTATAAACTTTTTATCTACTAGAACAGGGGTCTCCAAACTTTTCAGCCCGAGGGCCGCATTAACTATCAAACAGCAGTTCGGGGGCCGACTACACACTTGAGGTCCAAATAAAAAACAATCAAAACATGGATGTTGTTTTTAATTATTTATTTAATATTATTTTATTCAGTTATTATTTAATAACACATTGATACACTACACATGAACACCTGTATTAGTGTGAATGGTGAAATTGTTTCCTGGATGCCAAAATAGACATTTCTGGCTTTAGATTTGTTGTCCCTAACATCAACAGTGACCTGAGATTATCATCGGACAAGTTTGTTCTCAAATTGTTCTTCACGTATTTCATTCTTGAAAATGTTTGTTCACACAGGTATGTTGTTCCAAAGATTGAAAGGTACCTTGATGCAAAAGTTTTGACATTAGGAAAGTCTTCCTTGGGCAAAAACTGGTAAAAACCCACCAGTCCTATTTTGAACTTGTCCCTAAGGAGGTCATTTGCTTGCAACTCAATGACTTCCAGCTGCAGTTCATCTGGGCAACTGGCCACATCTGCTTCAAATGGGTTTTGAAACAATCTCACTTCTTCTGCCTTTGAATCCAAAAAGGTCTCCACGGGCCGGATGAGAGGGCCTCGCGGGCCGCATCCGGCCCCCGGGCCGTAGTTTGGAGACCCCTGTACTAGAATACTAGCCACAATTTAGCTACAAGATTTGTGGACTGTTCACTATTAGTCTTAACCATACATGAAGAAGCTCAGTAGAGATTACTATAACGGGATCTTTCCACACAAACCACAAATAAACTCTGGACTGACCTTCCATTGCTCCTTGGGAAGCAGTTTCACGACCACTATGTCACCATTTAGGGCTCTGTTACGAGCAACCATGCCATCGATAAAGATATCACGAATCCCATCCTACAGAGAGGGGGGAAATAACAAACATCAAAGCAAAAAACATTAAGTTACATTTGCTACAGGAGTTTTAAAATAGCGATAAAAAACAACAGTGCACACACTCTGGAGATATGGAGATACAGATGTAAACGTTTCATAACACAGCAATACATCTGCTGTACCTGCAGCTGGCCACAGCCTGTTCTGCACCCTGCAGTCCAGAACCCCACCTTTTAAAAGAGATGACCTTGGTTTCCATTAGGGATGTTAGATATAGTGTAATTGAATAGTTGTGTAACCGTATAAAATCTCAGCAGTTACACAATTATTCAATAGTCCCTGGGGGTAGGGCCAGAAGACAGTGCACTCCCGGCCCCACTCCCAGGGAGCTCCCTACCACCCACACTGCTGCCTCTGTATCAGAGGCATCAGCACGGGATGGCAGGCAGAGCCAGTCCGCGAGGGGAGCCAGTTTAAAAACCAGCTCCCCGCAAAAACCAGCTCCCACCAGCCGCCCAGCACTGATGCCTCTGATACAGAGGCAGCAGTGCAGGGTGGAAGCAGCCCCTGTCCGCAGGGGTCCAAGCTCCCTGCGGATAGAGACTGCTGCAAGGGGAGGAGGCGGCTGCCGCAAAGCAGCCTCTGTCTGCGCCCCTCCCACGCCGCTGCCCCTATTAGACGCCGCACCACGCG